TTTTAATGAATTATTAAAGAACTGAAGGAAAAAAACGCCGCAATCTAATTTAGAAAGGTTGAAACCAAATGACCTATAAGAAACCAAATAGTCATCGTATGAATGGTACCACATGATGGCATGCATATATATATAATTTAGATATCATAATATTGAATTATTTGATTTAATTTGCACTGCTGATAATTATTGGTCTCGAAAATCGGAAAATTTAACAATCAATAATGGAAATGTATTAACATCAACTGAGCAAGTATATATTAAAGGTCAAGCAGCAGCAGCATGGCAAATTACATTAGTAGTTTCTCAGGTAAATTATATTAATTATTTCGTGTAATTATTTTAATTAAAATTTGAAATTAATTAATTAATCATTTTATAAATTATTATAGCAAATTTTGAAATGAATATTCTAATGATATTTTTTTTATTTTTTTAGATTTTTCATTTATATATGTGTACAACACGTGGAACATCATTGTTTCGTCATGCTGCTACCAATTTAGTTTCCATCTTTGCAGCTATCATTGAAATTTTATTGCTCAATTTATTTATTTATACACCATTTGCACAGTCTTTCATGGAAACTCAATCACCACCAAATGAGGTAAATTATTTTTTTTTAGAAAAAAATTCCTTCAAAAATGTGATAAAACTAAAAAAGAAAGAAGAAAAAAAAAGGAATTAATTCATATAAATAATAAATTAAAGATTCGATTAAAAATTTTTTTAATTATCATTATTTTTTTTTTTGTTTTTGGAATGGCTCATAAGATCAATCAATTATTCTTATTGCAATTTGCAATAATGCATGCATTTCCTTCCTAAAAAATTGATACTTTTCTAATTGCACGTATAAATAATATAAAATCTAATTCATATTAAATAATGAATTAAAGATCTAATTAAAAGTTTTTTTTATTATCGTTTTTTTTTTTTTGTTTTTGGAATGGCTCATAAGATCAATCAATTATTACTATTGTAAATTATTGTAAAAATTGTATTGCAAAAATTATTGTAAAAATTGATTACTTTTTTAATTGCACGTATAAATAATATAAAATCATCGAAATCAAAATTCAAATTGTTTCCTATCGTATAAAAATTAATCAGATATAACTGTTTTTATTTTTTTTTATTAATCAAATTCAATTGGTTTTATTTTTTAATAATCAAATTTAATTGTTTCTATTCTTTACTAATCATATTTAATTGTTTTAATTTTTTTTTCTTATTTTTCGGTTTGGCTATGTGCTGGAATTGTTGGTTTAATATTGTTAATATTTAATGAATTGCGAAAATTTTGCATACGACGATGGCCAACAAATTTTGTCGTAAAATTTTTTAATTTTTAAAAGGTAAATTATCTGATTTTTTGTCTTTTTCATTTTCTTTGCTCTTTCTCTTTCTCTTTCTCCCTCTCTTTTTCTCTTTTTAATTTTTTATTTCGTATTATATCATTATTTAAATTTGTTAATTTTAAATTTTGTATTTAAATTAAATTTGTTAATATTTCCAATTCATTACAAATTCTTATCATACCAATTAAAAAAAATGATATACATAAGGTATATTTTTATTTGCTTACAAAATCATTAAAATTTTTTTGCAAAAAAATTTAATTAATTAAAAAAATTTAATGCTACTGATGATAAAATTATTTTTCATTACAGCAAAATTATATCGCTGCAACAATTGCTAATTACGCATTGTGATAAGGAGTGATAATCGATATCATTCGTTGATTTAATTCGATGATAAAATTTTCACGTATTACTCAGTTGTTGTTAATTCTTTCCGTTTTATTAATAAATGCAATCATTCATTTCAATTCGTTAAATTTTGTTCAATGATCAAAATGAAAAATGAAATGACAAAAAAATTTGAATTTGTTGAATGATAAGAAAAGAAATAAAGGCAATAAGGTGGTGAAGTGAGAGAGTGAATTAGATAAACTGGATTTAAATTGAAATGTTAAATTTCATCTTCAATTTTTTGAAATGGAAAAGTGAATTTTTAGGAAAGAATGGATGGTATGTTGAAAAAAAGAATGGATGAAAATTTGTTGCTTCTTTTGATTGAGATGAAGTTTAATATTTTGATTTGATTTTGATGGTTTTTTTGATTTTGATTGATTTGATTTTGATTTTTGATTTTTTTGATTTTTTAATTTTGATAAAATTTGATTTTGATGATTTCAATGATGGAAGAAAAGTATCAGAACTTAAAGACTATTTCAATAATTTTAAACAAACAAATAATCAAACAAATTGAGCAATAAATATTGGTGACAGATGAAACAAACAATAAAATGCATTTTAAAAGTTTGAATAAATTTGTAATAGCCGTGAATAAATATCAATTAAAGAATAAATTACTTCAAAACAAAAGAAACAAGAAAGTAGTTTTTTAATTGGATTTCAATAAAATAATAGATGAAAACGAAACCATATAGGTAAAAGATAAAAAGTTATCAATAAAAGTAAAGTTATCAATAAAAGTGAATTCCAAGTAAATAATTGATAAGAGTTTTAGCTAGCAGATTAGCAGATATGATTGCTGCCAAAAAATAAATAAAATAAAAACACAATTCTTTAATTTATGAAAAGTATTCGAAATGATATCCAACAATGATAAGAGAATCAATAAATTTACATAATTGATGATTACGGTGGAAATATATCAGGTGAAAGAGAACGAAAGGATAATTTATAAAAATATATCAGGTGAAAGGATAATGAAAAGATAAATAGGTCAGAGAGAAAGTTAGAAGGGGAAAAGTGGACGATTTGATAAAAAATTTGAAATTGAAAATTGAAAATAGTTGTTTATTGAAAAACTAGTTTAAAAACCATAAATATTCATAATCACTAAACCGATCTGTTATCATATCAGAGATCATTTTCAGTTGTTTCTGTTTAATGAATAACTTCGATCATTGCAACATAAATTAAATTATTAATTTGAAACATGTAATTTTTCTGTAAAAACACTTCTGGACACCTTTTCAAGTATCAATACTATCTATCGGCATATTTAAGATGAATAGTATTCAACGATAAATACAAAAGAAATGAAAAGAAATGATAACATGTTTAAATTGTTCTGAAATAGGAAATGAATTCAAGCGATTATAAATTTTAGAAATTTAATTTTAGAAACTTTTTATTGGATATAAATTAAAAATATTTATTGGAATTAATTTTGAGCAACTCAAAATATTTTTATTATCAGTTTAATAAGAAAAATGGATTTCATGAAAAGCACGTTTGCTTTTTAAAATTCAAAATTCATCCTAAAATTTTTTTTTTAATTAAATGATTTAATATCCACTCTTCATTCTTTTACAGTATTTTCTTACCTATCCTTTTTTTACAGAATAGGTCACCTAAAATTTTCCTTTGTAATTATTTTTTCAAAATCAATTATTTACTTTTTACTCATTACCTCATTTACTATTGTGTTTACTTTTGCTCCAAATAATTATCCGAGTTGATGATGGTATTTATTTGAAAAATTGAGTCCATATTTTTGACAAAAATTTTAATTGACAATATAAAGATTCCAATACTGGAATCCAGGATCATTTTGGCAAGGTTTAATTATCCTGTTGGCAGCATCAGTAATTCTTTCCTTTTGAATAAATCCGAAATGATTCAAATTCAGGTAATATATGAAGATGAAGTAACTTCTACTTACTTATACTTGTATTATACGTGTACTTATTGAATTAAACTATGATTGGTAAAAATGTATACGTATAAATTAAAATTTTCTCTGCATTATTTTATCTAATGGATTTGTTTAATTAATTATATTTGTACTGTCATTATTTAGATTACTTATTATTGTTATATTTTAGCTTACTAAAATATTAAAGGAAAATTTTTTACATTTAGGGCTTTTCAAAAAATGCAAATTCATTTTAGGAGTTTTTAAATAATAGATTAATCAATAAATTTAATCCTAATTATCAAAACGAAAGGTAAGCATTATATTAATTTTAATTTCATTCGATTATTAAATTTAACTGCATAATTTGAATTCCTAATTATTTAAATGAATTGCTAATATTAATTTCAACAAATATTTCGTTCAGGTGTTATGGATTCTATTGCAATTAATAGTAATTGTACAAGTTAGTTATGCATGCTTTGGTATACGTTGCTGTCACAGCAAATATTGCGAAAGTTCAACAGCATGCATAGGGTAGGTATTGAAACAACTTTTTTTCTCAATTTTTGAAAATTACATGAAAAAGAATAAATCAGAATAACATATTGGAAATGATATTGGAAATGAATTGTTAAAAGAAATCGACTTCGAATTAATATTATCTATATATCAATGCAATGAATTTAGTTAACGATTATAAACAAAAACACACATTATTCTAAATTAATTATTGATGAATTGTTCAGATGAAGTGGAAATATTTTGAATTGAATTAACTGATAAGAATTTGATTAATCCAATATATGAGATTAATGAAAAAACTTTTATCTCATTTATGTGACACGTATGACACATAGTTTGAAAGTTGATTATGCATATTTTGAGATATCGCAAATACTTTCCTTTTTCTTTCTTCGATATAATCAATAAATCATTAACGAATTGATTAATTTAATTAACAAATTAATAAGATTTATCATTATCAATCATTTCGACTATATTATCAATGATCAATAAAATATCACGACAATCAAAAATTTATAAAAACTGATCGTTTAAAGTATTGATTTAATGAGGAAGATAAAATTTCAAATTTCAGGGGTGTAGTAATATTTGGATATCCGCTATGGTATGGTCAGTGAAATGGTCAAGATGAATAAAATAAAATGTATAATTCATGCAGCACAGGAAAAGACCGATCATTTAGAGTTCATCATCCAGTATGACCTCTTAATATCAGTGATTTATTCGTCATTTAGAGTTCATGTTCACTGAGTGACCTCTCATTTCGATTCAATAAAAAATATTTTCTTTCATTTTCTGCCAAATTAGCATATTTTATATTTGTTATCATTGATAATGTTTTGTTTCTTTTTTGTTTTGTAATTAACTTTTTCCATGATTTATTAATATCACTTTCTTAGTTGATGAGTTCGAAGTTCGATAAAATTATCACTTTCCTAATTAATCAGTTTTGAAGTTCGATAAAGATGTTTGTTTGTGATTTTGTTCGAAATTTCAATTTTAATTAATTGAAATATATTGATATTATCTTATCTGAAATATTTCAATTAATAAATGAGCCTCATTTAAATTATTCAATTGAATCAAATTTTCATTATTTAATTATTATATTATAGTTAGTGATAATCGATGGATGAAAATGAATAAAAAAGAATGGATGAAATAAATCAGAAAATGATTGTATTCAAATTTATTCAGCTCAAAGAATAAAGTATAATAATTGAATGAAATAATAAATGAATAAAAAATTAATGAATCATTGAATGAATCAAAAATTCTATATAATAATAAAAGAGGAAAACTAATACAAACATCATATCATATCATATCATTCAATTTATCATTTTGTATTAAACAAACTTTACATTTGATGAAAAATCAACTTTTACTATTTCCGGAAATATTTCATATAAAAAGGATTATTTTGGAAGGATCAGAAAATACAACGTTTTAATTGGTTCAATAACTCATTTCATTTTTTATTTTACATAAAATTAAATTTCATTTAATGTTTTTTGTTTTATGCATTTTCTCTTCTTATTTTTGTATAATAGAAAAAATTTCACGGCATTACATTCGCATTTTAAGGTATAAGGTTTGAGATTTTAATATTTGCGATTAGTATGAGATTTCAAATTTGAGAATCGATTTGAGATTTCAAATTTGAGAATCGATTTAAGATTAGTTTGAAATTTCAAATTTGAGAATCGGTTTGAGATTTCAGGTTTGAGATTCCAAGTATGAGATGAGATATTTGCACTTTATTGGAAAATCTTTATACCATAATTAAAAGTTGCTATTTATTAATAGCAAATTGTTTTTAAATATTTCAAAAAGTTACAATTAAATTTTAAAATTACTGTTGAATTTTCAATTATAAATATTTTTTTCGACAGTATGTATTAAAATTTGTGTCAAACATTTTGCATAATTTCTTTTTCAACAATTATTCAAAATATTTCACTTTTAGCTCTTTTTCTTTTCCCAACTTATTATTACTACAAAATTTTTGTTTCTTAGTTATTTATCTTTTTAAGAATTCATAATTTAAAATTTAAAAATAAATGAATAAACAAAGTTGAAATTTTGGAAGTTAAATTATTCATTTCAAATATTCCCTAAATACTTTTTGTTAATGCATAAATAAATAATTCATTTGGTATTATTATACATTGCAATCATAGCTTTATCATTTTATTATTTTAGTGTTATCACAAATAGACTTTCATATTTCAACAATCATTCGAACAATAATAATTGAATTTAAAATTAAAATTAAATAATCGATTAATAAATGATAACAATTTTTGCATAGTTATAATACGGAAAATTTAAATTACAGTTTAATATCTTTATCATTATATTGATTTGGTGTTATCACAAATAGACATTCATATTTCAACAATCATACAAACAACAATTATTGAATTTAAAATTAAAATTAAATAATTGATTAATAAATGATAGCAATTTTTGCATAGTTATAATACGGAAAATTTAAATTACAGTTTAATAT